GTTTATTGGAAAACAAGTGCTAAAAGTCGCCCAAAAAACTAAATATTTTTCACATCTAATGGACGTTTTCGTGTCAAACCCCTCGTGTGAGAAGTTATGGTGTTTTTTATACTTATCATTGAAAAAACATAAAAAGGCCGTCCCTTTCACACACACACACGTGCGAACTACCCGACCTTACCGGTGCTCGCGTGTGGGGCCGGGTATGGTTTTTTGGTGGCGAACTTATCATGTATATTAGATCTCCATTTTTTTAGTGAATTAATTAGTGAACACCGCAAACACCACGTGCGCGGCACAGACACACTCAGCCCAGGTCGCTGACTCCTGGCATACCTGTGCCCACACAGACAGACAATTGTGTTTTACTATTGATTTTCTAATTTTTAATTTAAGTGACAATTAATTTCTCGTTTTGTGTGTGTATTACACGACAAATGATTACGACAACAAAAATACGGAAAAAAAGTTTTTAATTTAAACGACAGACAAAACACACACAGAATTTCATCCATACATTGAAACAGAATTTGTTTGCAAAACACACAGAATATTCTTATCATAAGAATATAAACGAATGGAAAAAAATGTTTACAATTCCTTCTCATCTCATAAGAGACGCCGGAATTCATCGGAAGATCTTGTTTTTCATTACATTTCTCTCTCTCTCTCTCTATCTCACGATTTCGTCGGACGACCGGCACCGGGATGTGTGCACCGGTAGGCCCCGCCGACACCCCATACATACCGCACACAGCCCTCACCTACAACCACATACAACAGCGACAACAATAAATACAACACTTCTACTCATGAATTAAATAATTGTTTTTTTTATTTTTCAAATACAAAGCCAAATGTTTGCGAGAAAACGTGTTTTTAATGTTATTTTTTATGACAAATATTTTTTTCCCGACCCATTATTATCCCGATAAAAATTCTCTTCGCTTTCCTTTTCTCTTGTAAAAAGTCATTTGAAAACAGCAGCGAAAAACTCGTGTGTTTTTTGGCCATAAATTATTTGACAACTCATTACCCGATCATCCATTTGACCCGCGATTGGGAGTGAAAAGCAAATGTGTTTTCGCTATTCAATTGTATTTTGAAATTACAGACAAATATAGTATATATACACAACACAACCAAAATACATGATATTGTAATTCATCAGAAAAATTTAATAAACATAAGAAATCATTTGTTTTGCTGTAAAACCATTTTTGAGACAAAAAATAAAAAAACATTTTATTAAAAAATATCGTTTAATGTTTTATTGCTTTAGTTTCTCGCGATTTATTTTACGCAAACTAATGTTATGTAATATTTTTTAACATAAGTCTCCCTCTCTCTCTCTCTCTCTCTCTCTCTCTCTCACTACAGTTGTGCCGTTAATGTGAACGCAATGTATGGAAAGAAATAAAGAAAAAGATATATTGAGGGAAATCTGTGGCCAAAAACGGACTTCTAGTAGAATATTATGGATATTAAACTTCTAAAGTGTCTTGAATTCGTTAAACGGATCCAAATTTTTTCTGATTGAACCGCGGAATAGGATCGGGTCCTGAGGTATGATTGATATACGAGATCGCAGTTCATTGAGAGGCACCTCTGATATGTCGACGCCATCGATATGTATGGAACCAGACGTGAGTTCAACTAATCTGAATAAAACCGAAGCTATGGATGACTTTCCCGCACCGGTTCGGCCAACAATACCAATCTTTTCTTGAGGACTGATATCAAAAGTAATATCTTTGAGCGCCAGCTTAAGACCGGGTCTGTAGCGCATCGTTACGTCTCTAAAACTGATTCTTCCTCTTGTGGGCCAGTTATCCACAAGAGATGTATTGATTTGTGTGATGACATCCTTTTCCGGTTTTAACGTCTGAATATTCATAGAAATCCTCTCAACGGATGTGAATCTGGTCTCTGCGTCGACGCCCAACCGAATCACGAATTGTAATAAACCGCTTAACTGTCGACACAATTGTATAATTAGTTTAAGTTATATAGGATTGAGTTTATGATGAATACCTGCATCGAGAGGACGAGTGCCAGTCCCGCAAAGGCTGCGCCGACACTCTCTTTGCTGCTGATGGCAAACAAAGCGGCAAATAATGAGACGAATACACAAAGAATATCCATTCGAGTCGAGAGCCAACGCATTGAACAATAGTATAGGAAATTTGGCGCCGATTGAGAATCAATTAATTGATTGAATTTATGAATAAACTGTTTTTGCTTATTAAAGGCTTTAATTATAGAAATCCCTTCAATGGTGGCAGTGATGTGGCTATAGATAGGAGAGCGGAGAATATTTTCCATACGCTTGAGGTCCCGAATGGCTCCCCTGAACAGTTAACAATCATATATATAATATACATATATATACAGTTAATATATATAAACAAGCTCACAAAAACAGATAACTTATTCTTAATTACCTGAACATGACATGGATGAGCCAGAAAAGTAGTACCAGTGCTGAGAAGGGCAACAAAAACCAGGGAAACACCAGAATTATGATGAATATATTGCAGACAACAATCATTAAGCGCTGGAAAAAGCCATCCAAAGCTTGAGGTACCTGAGTGTCAATCTCATCCATATCTCGTGTGAATATATTAAGTATACGACCCGTGGGTTCGGTGTCAAAGAAAGCCATCGGACTTTTCAACACTTTCTCAAACACTTGGTCGTGAAGAAGACTGGATGCGCTAAGAGTTACTTTAGTGAACATATATCCCAGGGTTAGTGTCACACATAATATTATAACTACAGAGAGACCATAAATGGTTTGATAAAACTTCAAATCAGGATTATTTATAATTATATCGTGACCCATGGTTTGGTTAGCTGTAGTCTAGTGTGCAATCAAAAGGTTAGCATACATTGTTAAGTCTTCAATTAAATAACATACATTTCCACTGCCCTGTGATATCCAATAGCCTAACCACCAATTAGCAAATGATGACGAGATTGCTTGAAATGCAAGCCATCCGATGACAAATGAAACAATGAAATATCCTCCGCCAGCGGTTATGTATGCCTTATATGTATCCCAAGAGATATTTCCGGTTCCCATCTTCTCAGCTAATATTAAGCGTCCCGTCATTAAAGTGTCGGTCGAATCAGGATTTTCTCTAAATTCCAAGTCAACTATTTCTGAAACGGATGCCTCACTGCTGTTGTCGCCATCCAGAGCAAGAGGTTTCACATCCGACCAATCGGGTGATGAGAAACGGGGGTCATCTCTGTCTTCAGGACTCTGATCTGTAACCACAGTATTGTTAACGTCTGGTTCTTCATTGAACTGCATCGTTGATGAATCTATTAATTGCTTATAATCTTCATCACTATTATAGAGATGGTCGTGAACACCTGTCTTAACAACCCTTCCTTCTCTTAAGAAGATAACGAAATCCATTTTTTCTAAGCATTCGATATTATGTGTGACCAGTAAAACAGTTTTGTCTTTCAGACCATGTTTAATGCATTGATTGAATATGTGTTGGCCCACATTGCGGTCAACAGAGGCCAGGGGGTCATCCAAGAGGTAGATATCTTTATTAGCGAAGTAAGCGCGGGCTAAGCTTATCCTTTGTTTCTGACCCCCGGATAACGTGACGCCCCTCTCGCCGATCTCTGTCTCGTCTTCGGCTATCAAAGAGGAGATATCGTGAGTGAGCGCACAGTTATTGATGGCTTCGTAATATCTCTTTGAATCAAACGTATTTCCAAACGTAATGTTTTCTTTGACAGTGGCGTTCAAAATCCATGGTTCTTGTGATACATAAGCTAAGGAACCCCTGACCCCAACTTTTCCCGATATGAGTCTCATTTGACCTAAAATTGAATGCAAAAGTGCTGTCTTTCCTGAGCCCACACTTCCAATAATACCGATGTGTTTAGCGGTTGGGATTTCAAACTCTAAATCAAAGAGACAGGTCGATGTCAGGGTACTCGACCTCTGAACTATACTGCCATTTGCTGACTCCATATTCAAAGATTGATGTTTAGCAGGGGGTGAATATGCATCCCAGGCCAGAGTGGCTCCTTTGAATTCAACAGAACTCGTGGGATTGACAGTCAGTCTAATGTAGTTCTCTTTGTCATCAAATTGAAGTACTCTTTCAATACGTTTCAAAGCAATTCTTCCGTTCACTATATCTCTCAGATATATGGGAAGCGAACGAATTCCATGTGCGGCCACATAGTTGACCATAACTAGAGTGAATGCCTGTCCAAATAGACTATTAATTTGATTGCAAATTTTGTGTACAATTAAATCATACGGTGGCTGCTGTCAGATCTCCCTGTTTGGCGAGAGTGTAAGCAAGTATTGTGGCCACTGTTATGACCAGTGGTGTTGTTAGAGACAGAGAAGTACTGATACATTGCAAGTATTGACACTTTTCGAGCAATAATTTCTCTTTCTTTCTAAATTCTAAATATAAAATTCAATTATAAAATGAAAATTAATTTTTTTCAAGATAATAACCTATAATTGAATCTGAAAATGTTGTTTCCCATCCGTACAGTTTAATAAGTTTAATATATGTTAACAGTTCAGTCATCAGTGAAATACGTTTATCACTCATTACCACAACTTTCTTTCGATAAAAGTTTTGTCCCTTTGCTGTTAAGAATTGGAGACCAAATATGAGTACGAATATGAAGACACCGACCAAAGCAAACACTCCCAACAACCACCACGTATACAGTACTGTCACAACTGTCACTATTGGTCCTCCCAATACAAGTGGAAGAATATAAACCATATGAAACACTTTATTCATGTCCACTGCAAACAGATTAACAGTTTCTCCGATTGTCTTATTGACTGATCTCGAAGTCAACAGTTTGTTATACAAGAGGGCATTTAAACCACTACTCGTTCGGATCGCAGTTCTGATACAAATGGCATACATTATAGCAAAACAAGAAGCTCTGCCTAATTCGCTGAGAAACAGAGCCATTGTCCACTTGACTCCCTGTGACATCGGCTCCGAATCAGCCTCAATGTGATCCAAAAGTTTTTTAAGAAATAGTGTCTAAAATTGATAACAAATTCTGATTATTTACTAATAGATGCTTAGTTTTTGTCAAATTCTTACAGAACTTAAATAACCCAATAAAAGGCAAATGAGATAAAATAGCGAGGACATTATTAGTCGTGTTTTTATGAAGCGATAAACCACTGTCTGAAGGGAAGCGTTATGTAATCCTTTTTTGTGACATTCATTTTCCCATATATTAGCCATTCTATGGCAAAATAAGTTGTTTTAAGTGATTTTAGTGTTTGTTGACTATTAAAACTAAAAAACCTTAAATTATTGATACGACAAGAATCCAATTGAGAGCAGTTATAAACATCGCTTTGTTTGAGTCCTTTTCGAAATGATTGCCAAACTATTGGTGTCATCCATGAGAAGTATACGAACGACAAACACGAGGCGTTATCGACCGGCATATCCTTTTCATCTCTGCATAAGATTTAATTTAATTAATTAATTAATTAAATGCCTTTAATACAAATTACCCCTTTTTGCTTCTAAATGGCAATAAGTGTTGAAATTCATGTTTGTATTTCTTGGCCCCTTTGCCTTTAATATACTCATTGGAAGTTGTGGTCGACTTATATATACTATAAAAAATGACAATTTATTACATTTTATTATGAATTAATGAATACTATACAAATTGATATGTTAAAAATAACAGAATTATTTTTTTTAATGAATCACTTCTCTTACATATTCTCGTCCTCGTCGTTAACATTAATTCTGTTCTCATTCCCTGAACTTTCCATTTCTGCGCTCGTATTCAGAGAATATTTATATGAAATTAAATGAATTCATTTGTAGATATCTTTCATTTACAACAAAAAACACATTTATTTGAAGAGTAAATAAAGGTATGACTGGTTGCACAGAAAGAGTACTCCAAAAGTGCTGATTACCACTAATTCTGTTTCCATAACTTTATCTGATAACAGGATAACAAAGTAAGAATGAATTTATAACTTAATTATTGTTTTTATGGACAATTACTGGTATTTCTATTTATTTAGGTTTATATTACTATGAATTAAACTTTAATAAATGATAATTAATTTATTTAGTTTATAATCTCCTAAATAAGGTAATATTTTGTTTATTAGAGATTATGTTGTATTAGTATTGCTCTACAGAATTCAATATTGAAAGTGTGTAAATAAAATAAACAAATATTCTTATTATTTAGAGGTTAAAAATTACTCATTTGGCATGTTAACATTTTAATTATGTTTTAATTTTTGTATTTAAATTTAATCAAAGAGCTATAAATTTAAACTAAATATAATTTTATTAATAATAAATTATTAGCAATATTTTATATCTATAGGAAATGATTATTCTGCATTAAGATAATTGACTGATTGCCTTAAAAACCAAATAATACAAATCCAAAGATTTTCTTAAACATGATTTTTATTTGTAAATTAAGTACTGTATTTTAAAAATCAAATATAAATTAAGTATAACTATAATTAAGTATATAGTTTGATAAGATATTTTTCTAGCAATTAATCAAATTATTACAATGAATCTAGTAAAAATGTATTTAAGTATTGAATAGTTAATAAATTTCTATAAAAGCCATAACAACACTGATTCCTGAAATCTTTTAGTTGTGTATTGAAGATGAAAATCAGGTAAAAATGATTCATAGCCGGCAGAGGCATCGGTTCCAAACACATCCAATACCATACGGTTGAGGAGATGTAGGCGATGGGCAGTCATTCGGTCCAAGAATTTCATATACGAGGGCTTCATGTGTTTCGGCTCTAACACCGCCTGCAATGCATTTGTTTATAATAATGTGATTTTATATAATATATGAATTAAATATAATCACCGAATAAAATAGTTGAGCGGTTGAGAGGGCATACACTAAATGGACAGTCGGCATAACAAAACGAATGTAACCTTTTTTGACTCCAATACAGTAAAGGGACTAAAATAGAAAATAAACTTTTAGATTTAGCTACTAGGAAACTTTTAGCTAATGATTAGATTTTCAATGAAAGGTTGAAACCTCAATGCATTTCCACATTAGGTATAACGTAATGGAAGTGTTGGGCGATAAGAACATTGTGGGGCCGGCAAAGAGGGCGGCTATGAATGAATGCCAATCATGCGATTGATTTGAAGCGAACCGAAGACTACAATTAACTCCTTTATAAATAGCTGTAAATGAGGCCAAAAATAGACCGAAATAGAGATGATCTGAGTTCAAGAAATTGTCGCTAATCTTATTGGGACGAAGAAGTAATAATCGGGGTTTTGATAGAGTCTTTACAACAGACTTTCCAAACCATCCCATGAAAAATGAGCGCAAAAATGCTGAACTAATATATGTGAGACATGAACGGTGTCTGTGCGGACACGACTCGTGTTTAGGAAACATTGAATTGAATTTATCAATCAACTTTCTTAACAAATTAGACTTTGAATTGTCTTTTGGATGAATTGGCAAAAGTTGTTGATGTGCTGAATGACAAGATTTAGTCTCTTCTCGTCCGACAATGAACTTGAGGGCCAGACTCACGGGATCCGATCCGAAGCCGTTCTTCTTAATGATATACAAGAGGACAGACATCGTGACAGTGAAGAGAAACACTTCTCCGTGTTGGACGGGTTTCATATAACCTCTCGCTATAAATATTCTGAATATAGTTTCCGATGCAATATTTGCTACATATATAGCGAGCGCCGGTCGACGGGAGGGCCGTTCAATCATAATTGCAAGTAGACTGCCAATGAATGCTGGGGTATAGGCGCACATACTGTAGTAAAACTTTCCCATCAGTCGACGGGTTATACAGAATAAGAGAATCACAGAAAAGCCATTAAAGCTTAGGAAGAGTGACGAGCGGACAATGCTCTGCAGACTTTGTTTCACTCCATTCGAGTCAAACTTCTTTGACAATCCTTGAGATAACTGTTAATATATTCAATAATTGAGATTTTAGTTGTAATTGATCTAATACTGACAATTATTCTGTACAACAAATAACATGTCTGTTATTAACAAAATTAAGTATCTAATGTTTGGAAAAGTCAGTGAATGTCTCAAACAATAATATAAGTTAAAAGTCACTTAACATTATAAAAAGATAACAAGCTATACAAAAATACATTATTCCTTAATATAAATCAAATTGATAAATAAAACAATACTTTCACTGACCATTATGAAACTACAACTGTACTATTATTCTTATTTGTAACTTTTAAATAAAATATTTGATTGAATTTTAATAAAATAGAAACAAACCAAATATAAGGGGGTATATAATTTAATGGATTCCTTCAACACATTTAACCCCAATTCAAGTGCCGCTTCAGTACACGAGCTTTAAATGAAAATACATTTAATTTTGAAACACATATCTAACCATTGATTCTTACGGTGTCCACGTATGCCCTAAACAATAAATGTGTATTTGTTATATAACGGTAGTTTTAAAATAAAATGTATACCGAAATAATTTTTATTTAAAGTTATAATTTATCAAAACTTTAATAAATACTTAATATATTAATAATCAGCTAACTTTGTAGGTAAATAAATAAATTTAATACTGTATAGTGTATTTACTGCATGATAAGTGGAATGAAACATTTAAATACTAAACTCTTAACTCTAAAATTATATCAAAAATATATCGATAGTTTTTAACAGTATGTCTATAGATAGAGTGGACACTTACCCACTTCATAGCAATTGTATGGCACACTCCAGTCAGGCATCAAAACTTTGCTTAATATTGAGGGCATTCTTGCAAATATTTATCGACTATTTGTCAATATTTAGCATAACATGAGTGAAGTGAGTGTCGCACAAGTATTCTGTTTATTTGTTTGTAAATATATGAATAATCAATAAACTTTTGGTGGATTAATATTTTTAATAATATAATAATAATCTAAGAAAATCTATGTAAAATTCAATGATTAACACTCATATTCAGTTACGAAGACTAGGCAACAGTTTGTCTTAA